AGGCCTACTGGGACGCTTTGGACGCTTTTTGGCCGATCTTGGAGCCATCCGGAGCCGTCTTGGAGTGCTCCCGGGTCGTCTCGGACCTCTCTTGGGCTGTCCCGAGGGCGTCCTGGGAGCGTCCTGGTGCCTCCGGGGGGGGGGGACCACAGCCACTCGGCAAAGTGGGCCCCCCCCCGTCCAGGACCCCCTCGCGATTTATTTATTCATCTACTTATTTATTTATACATTTATTTATGTATATATGAGTACACACACATATATATATATATATATATATATATATATATATATATATTTATAAATATATGTATATATATACTTATATCGATGCCGCCGCGCCGTTTGTTCTTCACGCGCCCAAGTAGACGAAGCCGTCACCACGGCATACCCACGGTACCCTTGCGCCCGAGACGAAATTTGCCCTGGTGGCCGAGGCGCTCCCCAATACGTAAAGCCGCGCGCCGGAACAACCGGTGCGGCGACATGTGTGAATCATGGCCAGACCACGCCCGCCACTGTGCTGGTGTTACAATATGTTTCAGTGTGCGCGCCGCTTGTGTGGAAGCGACGCGCACATCGTGTACGCAGTTCTGAGTTCGCCCGAGCCCAGGCCGAGGACGTCGGGGACGGCTTCGGTGTAGTCGAGAAGTCAGAACTCGTCTTCTTCCCGCACTCCCACCTTCCACCCCGGGGTGGGGCGACCCTTGCCGAGGGCGACCCATCGCTCATTACCGCAACGACCGCACGGGCACGTGCGGATTGTCAGGGGATCCTTCGGTACAGTAGGAGCTCGACCGCAAGAACCCTTCCACAAGGAACCCACCCTGAGATCCCAGGGCGTCCATCGACTTCTGGTGCGGGAGCGCCGCGCCCCCCCCCCCCCCACAGCAGAAGCATCGACGCCCCGAGAAACCCGAGGGCACGCGGGAAGCAAAAGCCGGGCGCTGCTCGCCCGTGGGGCTCCGCCGTGCGGCCGCGCGGCGTGGCGCTCCGCACGCCCGTCCATCCCGCCGCCTCGGCGCCCTCGGGAGCCTCGCCACCTCCATCCGTCCCCTCGCGCACCTCCATCCATCCATCCATCCATCCATCCGTCCATCCATCCATCCGTCCGTCCATCCATCGCCACCTCCATCCGCCCATCCGTCCGTCCATCCCGCCACCTCGGCGCCCTCCGCGCTCTCTCGCGCCTTTCGCCCCGCCCCTCCGCGCGCCCCGCCGCCACCCGCGCCCTCGGCGGCCGCGGGCGGTCCGAGACGGGGCGGGCACGCGGCGCCCGCCAGCCGCTCGATGCGGCAGCAAGGAGGAGGTCAGGAGGAGGAGGAGGAGAAGGAGGAAGAGGAGGAGGAGGCGGAGGAGGAGGAGGAGGAAGAGGAGGAGTGGGCGGAGGAGGAGGAGGAGGATAAGGAGGAGGAGGAGCAGGATGAGGTGGAGGAGGATGGTCAGTGCAAACCCAAGGATCATCGACGATGTTGGAAAAAACCCTTCCCCCCGTTCCCGAGACTCCAACGCCACGAATCAACTTGACTGTTTTGTCTTGCGGATCTTGATTCGTGCCACAACGCCGTTCCTGGGACTTCAACACTGCGCCCTGACAACCCTGAATCGCTCCCAAACACTGTTTTTGGTACGTGAACCATGGGAACCCGTGAAACTCCTGAACTTACAAAAATGTGCGCGGCGCTAAGGCGATAACCACATTTTGAAGCGGAACCGCCCTCGATCCGAGACGTTCCTGCAAGTTGTTAAGACGAAGAGGCGCGGCGCTAAGGCGAGAGCCATATTTTGGAAGCGGTCCGCCCTCCATCTGTGAATTCTTCACTGATTTTTCTCAGGCGAAACGCCCAGACCGCCCTTCCGACTGGCCTCGGGGTGCGACAGGGAGGAGTTAGAAGGCTGGAGGAGGAGGAGGAGGAGGAGGAGGAGGAGGAGGAGGAGGAGGAGGTGGAGGTGGAGGAGAAGGAGGAGGAGGAGGAGGAGAGGGAGGAGGAGGATAAGGAGGAGGATTAGCACGCATCCTGGAAGGTGGTTCTGCCGTCTTGGCTGCAATCGCGCGGCAGCGCGGAGGCGCGGGGCGCACCTGGGAGATCTGGTTGGCGAGATCGGGCCGCGCGCGGGGTGTAATCATCTCGGGAATCCCCCCCTTCCAATAGCATCCGACCATGTGCATCGCCCCCCCCCTCCGAGGCTTCCTGGCCGGGCCGACACCTCCATGGCCGTAATTACCCAAGGCGTCCGAAATGCCCAATCTGGCTTTCCAAGACGGAACTGGCAGCCACCGAGCCCACCAACATTGTCCAAGATGCCTCTAAGGCGGCCCGAGATGTCTCAAAGATGCCCTGAAGACGGCCGAAGAGGCTCTCAAGACGGCCCACGAGAGCTCCAACATGACCGACTGCAGGGCCCGAAGATGCCCAATCAGAAGTTTTGTTTTTAAAGCGGATTTTTTCGCATTCTCACGTGTTCGGGCTTCCCTGAGCTCCAGACGGCCCAAGAAGCCCCTAACACGATGCCACGGCGGCCCAAGAGGGCCTCAAGATAGCCCAAAAGGTCTCCAAGACGGCCTCAAGACAGCCCAATAAGCCCAGGACGGACCCGAAAGGGTCGCAAGCTGGCCCAAAGGGGCCTCCGGCGAGACCTGAGACGGCCCGAGAGAACCCCTGGACGGCCCAAGATGGCCCAAAACGGCCCCAAGAGACTCCCCAGACGGCCACGAAGGCCCCAAGAAAGGCCCAAGACGGCCCAGATGAGGTTCATAAGGGCTCCTCGAAAAATAAGACGACAGATGTCACATGCGACGGGTCTCCTATTCTTCATTTTCCTCCTCGTCATCATCATCATCATCATCATCATCATCATCACCACCATCCTCATCCTCGTCCTCGTCCTGCTCCTCCTCATCATCACCATCACCCTCACCAACATCAACACCATCACCATCACCCTCACCCTCACCCTCACCAGCACCAGCACCAGCACCATCATCATCACCACCATCACCACCACCATGATGATGATGATGATGATCATCATCATCATACTCATCAGCATCATCATCATCACCATCATCATCCTTCATCATCTCTTCATCATCTCTTCATCATCATCTCAATCATCGCCACCATCCTCGTCCTCGTCCTCGTTCTGCTCCTCCTCCTCCTCCTCATCATCATCATCACCATCACCCTCACCAGCACCATCACCATTATTATTATCATCACCACTATCCTCGTCCTCATCATCACCATCACCATTACCATCACCAACACCATCACCCTCACCAGCACCCTCGCCAGCACCATCGTAATCACCATAATTATCATCATTATCATCATCATCGTCATCATCGTCGTCATCGTCGTCATCGTCGTCATCGTCATCATCGTTGTCATCGTCGTCATCGTCATCGTCATCGTCATCGTCATCGTCATCGTCATCATCATCATCATCATCATCATCATCATCATCATCATCATCATCATCATCATCATCATCATCAGCATCATCATCAGCATCAGCATCAGCATCAGCATCAGCATCAGCATCATCATCATCATCATCATCATCATCATCATCATCATCATCATCATCATCATCATCATCATCATTATCACCACCACCACCACCATTACCATCACCATCATTAACATGTTGTTTGTCGCCCTCGTCAGCCACAATGCTCCTCCTCTCCTCCTCCTCCTCATCCTTTCGACGTCATCAGTATCGTCATCCTCATCGATTCGAGCGGCTGCCACCGAGAATGCTGGGTTGGCACGGTGGTGGGACTTGCCGCAGGCAGCCGGATCATATACGAGGGATGAGGCTGGGCAGGGGGTGGGAGGAGGTGGGGGGCCAGGAGGGTCCCAAGAGGGCTCCAGGGCCCACTACGGCTCCCAGAGGGAACCCCTGGGGGGGAGGTGCTCGGACGCTCAGGAGCGATGTCCGAAGGGCCGGTGCCCTGGACCCCCGATGATCTTACTTGCCTTACCGAGGAGTTCAATGGGAGCGTCGAAGATTTGCCACGCTCTGGCCCGTCGCCGCCCGATGCTGCTGCCTCTGCGGGTGCGCCGAGGACTCGCCACGTTGCCGCCCGCTGCCGCTTGGGTCGGTGCGTTGCGGATTCGCCACGCTCCGGCCCGTTGCCGCCGAGTGTGTTCTCGCACCGTGTGGGGAACGCGCAAGGCGTCGAGGAGGCGAAAATCTGGGTCACATCTAGTGGGACCCAGCTTTCTGTCAGCATCTCTGCGGACGCCAGGCGTTTTCACACCACACATCTTCCACCACATGGCTTGCACCACGTGGCTTCCACCACACAGCTTCCGCCACATGGCCTTCACCACATAGCTCCCATCATCGGAGTGCGAAGACTCACTGTCTTGGGCCCACGCTGGCGAAGACACACACACGTACACATGCCAGGAGGTGTCTGTGCTCGCCATCGTGGACCTGCCCAACACGGCGATCTCTTGCGGTGTGTGCGGTGCAGCCTAGGCGTCCGATCGCAGTGCCATCGCAGTGCAGTGCGATCGCAAAGCTGGGCAGCGTCATGCAGCGCAGCACGACCGCAGGGCAAGAACGGGGGGGGGGCCACGGGGCGGGGCAGGCGGTGACGGGCGGGCACGGGGCCGCCGGGGCGGCAGCGCGGCCCCTCCGCTGGGAAAAGGGTGCGGCGGCGGGCCAGAACGGGGCCGGCGGGGCCGCAAGCGGGCCCAGTTTCTCAGAAGGGAAGTGAAAGCCCTCAAAGTGCTAGCACTGCTAGGGAAATCTGTACGTCTCAATGCGCAGTGTGTCTGGCGCGCTGATGGAGGCGAACGGCGGGCAGGGGTCAGGCGGGGAACGCGAAGGCGGATCTACCACCTCATGTAGTGTGCTTTGCTACTGTGTGTTACGTTGTGCTATGTCATGCTGTGCTATGCCATTCTACGCAGGTCTTGATTGTGCTGTGCTAGTCTGTGCGAGCGCTAGGCTTCAAGAATGTGGTATGTAATCCTTTGTTATGCGACCAAACCATTTGCAGTTTAGGTCACGTCAGGCTGCCTTCACCTGGCCGCCAAAATAACACCTCGTTGACACGCATCGCCAATTAGACGCATGTCGACCCTAGAAGGGTTGCCAGAGTTGGCTGGATTCGACCCGCCCAGGCATCGTAGCGCTCGTTGCTGCCAAGCCTATTGGAACATCGAAGCAGAACAATCGGGCAAACGCTCGCGGTCCTGGCGTTGAAACGTGCAGTTGTGTGGTATCCAACCACTGGGCTGCGCAAGCGCTGAACAAACCAACGGCTCAGGTACACCACGAGCCGGCGCGCTGTGTAACTGATTCCCGGCGCCCTCCTTGACGGGAGCGCAGACTGGCCTCAACAGTGATGAGCGGATGCCCTGGCCGCCACCCAGCTCGACAAGAAGCCCGACATCCGCCACCGTGCCTGCACGGAGTGGCCGTGTTAGACTGCTCCTGTGGTCTCGCTGCGAACGTTTTTCATTGTCTTCTTGGGGCCGACCCCCCCCCCCTGCATCGCACGCGGGGCATTAAAATCGCTCCCCCTGAAGTCGCTCCCCGGTGCTCTTTTCGGCCTCCAGACGGCCAAGATGGCATCAAAGACGGCCTCCCAGACAACCACGACGATACCGAAACTGCTCAAGATGGCCCAGGACGGCTCAAGAGGGCTCCAAGTGCAGACGGCCGATAGAGCTCCAGCAGGCCTTCCTGGAGAGCTCGAGGGGGCCCAAACCATTGATTTTTCGTAGGTTTTTGAGCGATTTCGAGGTTCTCGCCTGTTCGGATTTCCGACCGCCCAAGACGGCTCAAGAAGCCTCCGCGAGGCCTACAAGATAGCTCCAAGACAGCCCAAGAGGCCCCCAAGAGGGCCCCAAGTCGGCCCAAGAGGACCCAAAGATCGCCCAAAGGGCTCCCAAGAGGGCCTCAAGACTGCCTTGAAGCGCTCCAAAGAGCAGCAAGACGGCCCAGAGAAGCCTCTTGGGCTGTCCTGGGCAGTCGGAAACCCAAACATGCCAGAGCCAACCAAGAAAGTAAACCAATGGTTTGGGCCTCCTCGGGCTCTCCTGGAGGGCCTTTTGGAAACCTCTTGGGCCGTTTGGGGGGGCCTCTTGACCTGTCTTGAAGCCGTCTTGGGAGCCTCCTGGCCTCAAGGACGGCTTTCAAGGCAGCCAAGATGACACCACGATGGCCGAAGACGACTCTAGAGGCTCCCAAGACAGCCCTCAAGGCACATCAAGAAGGCTCCAAGACGGCCCAAGCGGGCTCCAAGAGGGCCTCCTGGAGAGCCCGAGGGGGCCCAAACCATTTGATGTTCTTAAGGTGTTTGAAAGATTTTGAGGCTCTCGTCTGTTCGGGTTTCAGATCGCCCCGGCGGTTCTAGCGGGGCGAAGCACCGACCAAACTGGACAATGCTGCGTACAATGTCCGCTCCCAGGCTCCGCGCTATCCACCTGGCAGCTGGTCACTGCTCCCCGCGCTCTGCCGCGACGGCTCTGGATCTGCCTTGCTGCCGCTGGCCACCCTGGAGATCAGGTCGCGGTAGCGCTCGCGCTTCTGCTTCCCGAGCCTCCGCCTGTCCTTCCTGCGGTGCAGGATGTGGCAGAAATCGCACCGAATGCCCTTCTGGCAGCCCACCTGCGTGGAAAAGAAGGCGCACGGCTTGCAAGTGCCTTCGGCGTGCTTGGTGGAGCCCACCGAGGTGAGCTCACCGTTGTCGCCCTTCGGCATGCGCAACATGAGGGCCGCCAGCTCGTCGTCTGTGACCTCGTCGTGGTCCTCTCGGCTCACAGCGCGGCCGCTTCCCGTATGCACGTCGGCCTCGGTCTGCGTGGGCCTGACGCCCTCCTCCGCCTCTTCGGGCTGCTGGGCGTCGCCGCCGCGCTCGCAGAGCTTGCGGTTCTGAAGCCTCCTCAGGGGGAAACCGCTTTCTGGTGGACACGACCCCCTGTGGCAAAATGCCAGGCAATGATAAATGAATGCCGAGGGCACTCCACGTGCGCATGGCACTGCGTTCCGAGTGCACCACAGCAGCGGGGTACCTCATCGACGTCTAAAAAACAACCGGATGTATCGAGCGAGAGGCACTGCGATTAGCGAAACCGACCGGGGACTGCACCGCAACACTCGCATGCCAGTGTCGAGTGAACCAATGCAGATTTCCTCGGTCGATTTGTCTGAGTGGGCGTCCGTTCAATGCCCGAGCCGAAAAAGGTGCTGGTACTGCAAGTTCTTTGACCTCCCCGTGGGTGTGCTCTGACCGCGGTCTCGAGATGGCCCCGGAAACGCGAGAACGACACACGGGCAACGGCCAAAACGTGCGATGCGGGAGCCTTGGAGGTCTCCGCCCACTCTGGGACTAGCTTTTCATTCCGAATCGGTTTTGATGGTCCTGGGGCCTGGCGCGGGCCACAGAAGCCGAAAACGGCCAGAAACGTCCAGTCGTGATGTGCTAATTCTATGGCCCTTATAAAGGGCGACGATGGCGAAGATGGAAATCAGTGCCCTGGCACTCGCTTTGAACGCCTTCAAGCAGCTTCAAACTAGTGCACTGGCACTGCTTTGAACGTTGCAACAGGGGAGCCTTATATGCGACATCGGATGATGGTGCTGGCGATGATGATGTTCATGATGCTGGTGATGAAGATGCTGATTTTTCTACCTTGCACTGAGAAGGCCACAATCCTGCCACTTGTCCGCGATTGCGGCCATGGTGCGCCGGCTGCGGCCATGCTGCGCCATGCTGACCGACAACAGGAGCCCGCTCCTTGCTTGGAGCCCCGCTCGATCTCGTAATCCCACCAGCCCTCTGGGCGTCGGTGGTTTAAGGCGTTTGCTCTTCCACCCCTTCCTCTTCCCCTTCGGGGAGGGGTTTACCCCTCCCCCTACCCCCTCCCCACTGACCTGGACAGGAGGGGCGGGGAGCGGTCAGAGCGTCCAAAACAGCCTCGGTGAGGAAGCCAAAATCATTGATTTTAGCAGGGTTTTGGCCCCATTTTGGCCTCCTGGGGGGGCAACGCTAATTCAAGCTCAGCTCTTCTTTGATAGATCTCCTCCAAGATGACACAAAGAAGCGCCCAGGAGGCCCCAAGAGGTCCCAAGATGGCCCCAAGATGGCCCCAAGAGGCCCCCAAGAGGCCCCCAGAAGGCCCCCAAGAAGACCCTCAGAGGCCCCAAGATGCCCCCCCCCCCCGAGGCACCCAAGACCCCGAAGAGCCCCCCAGGATCGCCAAGAGACCCCCAAGACGTCCCAAGAGGCCCCCAAGAATCGCCCAAGAGATACTCCAAGAGGCTCCTAGAGGCATCCAAGAGACCTCTGGCCCTTGTGCTTGCCCTCCTCCTCCTCCTGTTCCTCCTTCCTGCTCCTACTCCTTCTCTTTCTCCTCCTCCTCCTCCTCCGCCTCCTCCTCATCCTATTCATCCTCCGTCTTCCCACTCCCTCATCCATCCATCCATCCACCTCCTCCTTCTCCTCCTCACTCCTTTGCACGGTTCGGCCGTCCTCCTCTTTGCTGCCGCACTTCCCTGATCACCTCAACTCGCCTGGACATCGTTTCGGGATGGGCTGGTGGGGATAAGCGAAGCGTCTAGAATTCGCCCGTCCACGCGCGAGAACGCTCAGTCCGCGCGCGTGTAACAAGCCGGAACTGCGGCGCGATCCGAATGCCAGTTTCACGAGGACCAGTCCTGCCATCCCGTCGATTGCCAGTCCCACTGGGGCCACTGGGACCAGTCCTGCTATCCCGTCGCGGGACCGTGCGCCTCCTGTGCGCCGCCGCCGCTGGCGCCGCAGGACCGAGCCGCCACTGCGGCATAAGGAATGGTCGCGTCGTCGACGTTAGCAGCCTGCGGCGGCCGCGGATTCCAAGGTCGCTCAGCTCCAGCGTGTTGAACGTGGGCGTGTCCCATGATTGGTGCGCGCGAGTGCCCGTGCTGTCGTCGCGGATGAAGACGAAATCCCACGTGGGCAAATGGATTCTCTGCGCCTGTCCTCTGTCCACCCCTTTGCAGTGCCTCATGTGGTCGGCGCTGTCTGGGCAAGGGCCGCGCTAGCAGCGGACCAGCCCGCGACTGCGGTCAGTGCCAGGGCCGCGCACCACGCGCAACATCGTTGGTCCATCTGCGCGACCATTCCCTGCCAAGATTGCAGCACTGTGACAGTTTGGTCCCAGTCCCAGTCCCAGTTGTCCGGCGCCTCCTCCCTTGCGCGGTACTTCAGGATCTTCGGAATCTGCTCCGCCACTGAGGTGCCGAAGGCGAGCGCGCGGCTGCCGAAGAAGGTATTCCTGGTCTTCGTGCTCGCCTCGGAAGAATTTCATGGCCGCGCTGTGCTGTTTATCACTGGCGGACAGGCCGCCCTGAAAATTTCGAAGAGCTCCACCTTGAACATCGGCGTCTCTTCCCTTCGCGCATCTGGGAACAGCGCAACTGCGCCCTGCCCTTCGCGACCGCCGTTGCGGGCGCGGGCTCCGCCGTGGGATCGCCTTCCCAAGCACTCGAGCGGCCGCCTTCCCATGCGCTGGAGCGGCCACTTTCCCATGCGCTCCAGTCCCACCAGCGGCCCTCTTTCCATCCGCTCCAGCGGTCTTGCCCTCCGCCGTCGCCGTCTCGTCCGCCCGCCGGCTTCCCATCCGTGATGGTTGCCTTGCCAACCTCCGCTGCCGCCCTCCCGTCCGCGACTACGGCCACTTCCGCCGCTGCCCCCCCCCATCCTTCGCCTTGCCGGCCGCCGCTGCTGTCATTTCCGCCGTGCCATCCGCTACTGCGGTCACCTTCGCCACTGCGGTCGTCCCAGCCTCCACCGGCTCACCCACGGCCACCCTTGCTCACTGGAGACGCCCCATCTGCGGACCTTGTCTTTGGTGCGGCCTTGCCACCCCATCCTGCATTCATCTGTGGCCCGATTGGAAGCTTCGGTGGCGCAGGCGCGAGCCCGCCCAACCGCCATCGAACCTACCGTCGGCGCGGGCTTGGGCCGAACGTGAACGGAGGAGGACGAAGAGGAGGAGGAGGAGGAGGAGGAGGAGGAGGAGGAGGAGGAGGAGGAGGAGGAGGAGGAGGAGAAACTGGAGATGGAGGAAGAGGAAAGTGAGGAGGATGAGGTGTTCGTGGGAAGGGTCGGGAGCTCACTTTCCCGGGCGCCCCCCACGTGACAGCTTGTCCCGGCGGAGGGTGGCGGTGGAGGGTGAGGGCGGGGGAGGAGCAGGGCTTTCTGGACGCGCCCGGACGTCAGATATGGTGGTGGGGGCGGGGGGAGGAGTGGGGGGGGGGGGTGGGGGGGGGGGGGGGGGAGGGTGGGGCGGGCAGGAAACGCCCCAGCGCAACGAGAATGGCCCGGTAACCCGAAGGACGCCAGAGGTGGCCGGAGGAAGCCCAGACGGACGGTCCTGACTCGACTGACCCCCAAAGCATTTTAGTGGTGAAAATAAACATTGGGTTTTTGATGTTTTTTTGTTGAAATGCTTGCAAAAACACGGTATTCGGTAGGATTCTGACATGAACGCGCGAGTGTGCTCTTTGTGTTATTTTTTGCACAGGATTCGCGGCCTGGGTGCATGACAGAGCATCGCGAGTGCACCGCGCGATGACGTGAAATCGCTGGATTTGACAGAATTCTTAAGATTCGTATGGTTTTCTATGATTTCAGCAAGAGAGCCCGGGCGGGAAATTTGTACAATTTTTTGTGACAAAGCATTGGGTTTTTGATGTTTTCATGTTGAAATGCTTGCAAACACACGGTGTTCGGTAGGATTCTGACATGAACGCGCGCGTGTGCTCTTTGTGGTATTTTTTGCAATGGATTATCGCCGTGGACGACAGGACGTCCATGTCGAGAGGAAAAAAAAAAGAAAAATGTTGATTTTGTATTGTTTTTTACAGGTTAGGATGGGACCACCCGGATGCGCCCGCTATCTGCCGGCCTGAGGGGGGAGTAGGAGTATATTCTAATAAGGAATAAGGATGGGAGTGGGAGTGGGAGTAGGAGTAGGAGTCAAGCTAGCCAGCTCGAGCGAGCCAAGCATGGCATGCCCAGTCCCACCCGCCCTCCCACAACATAAGAAGCAAAGCTGGCGCAACTGGGGGCCGAAGTCACACCGGCCAGCCGGTTTGGTACAGCTGATGCGGCCGCGATGGCGGTTGCCGACGGGAACTGGCGAGCGCGTGTTGAATGCCGCGCACGCATTGCCAGACGAGTCGAGAATGGCCCGGTACACCGCAGGAAGCCAGAGGTGGCCGGAGGAAGCCCACGGTCTGACAGGACACCCCAAAGCATTTTTGTGAAAAAGCATTGGGTTTTTGATGTTTTAATGTTGAAATGCTTGCAAACACACGGTGTTCGGTAGGATTCTGACATGAACGCGCGAGTGTGCTCTTTGTGTTTTTTTTTGCACAGGATTCGCGGCCTGGGTGCATGACAGAGCATCGCGAGTGCACCGCGCGATGACGTGAAATCGCTGGATTTGACAGAACTCTTAAGATTCCTATGGTTTTCCAATGATTTCAGCAAGAGAGCCCGGGCGGGAAATGTGTACAATTTTTGTGAAAAAAGCATTGGGTTTTTGATGTTTTTATGTTGAAATGCTTGCAAACACACGGTGTTCGGTAGGATTCTGACATGAACGCGCGCGTGTGCTCTTGGTGGTATTTTTTGCAATGGATTATCGCCGTGGACGACAGGACGTCCATGTCGAGAGGAAAAAATAAGAAACATATTGATTTTGTATTGTTTTTTACAGGTTAGGATGGGACCACCCGGATGGGGCCCCTATCTGCCGGCCTGAGGGGGGAGTAGGAGTATATTCTAATAAGGAAAAAGGATAGGAGTAGGAGTAGGAGTCAAGCTAGCCAGCTCGAGCGAGTCAAGCATGGCATGCCCAGTCCCACCCGCCCTCCCACAACATAAGAAGCAAAGCTGGCACAACTGGGGGCCGAAGTCACACCGGCCAGCCGGTTTGGTACAGCTGATGCGGCCGCGATGGCGGTTGCCGACGGAAACTGGCGAGCGCGTGTTGAATGCCGCGCACGCATTGCCAGACGAGTCGAGAATGGCCCGGTACACCGCAGGAAGCCAGAGGTGGCCGGAGGAAGCCCGACGGTCTGACAGGACACCCCAAAGCAATTTTGTGAAAAAGCATTGGGTTTTTGATGTTTGGGCGCATGCCATGCTTGCAACACACGTGGTGCGTAAGGATTCTACCTAACGGCGCTGAGTGTTGCTCTTTGTGTTTTTTTTTTGCACAGTGCTACCCAAAACAACAAAGAAAGCTGATATAAGCATAAAGAAGGAATTCCGCGGCCTGGGTGCATGACAGACATCGCGAGTGCACCGCGCGATGACGTGAAATCGCTGGATTTGACCGAATTCTTAAGATTCCTATGGTTTTCCTATGATTTCAGCAAGAGAGCCCGGGCGGGGAATTTGTACAATTTTTGTGAAAAAGCATTGGGTTTTTGATGTTTTTAATGTTGAAATGCTTGCAAACACACAGTGTTCGGTAGGATTCTGACATGAACGCGCGCGTGTGCTCTTTGTGGTATTTTTTGCAATGGATTATCGCCGTGGACGTCAGGACGTCCATGTCGAGAGGAAAAAATAAGAAAAATGTTGATTTTGTATTGGTTTTTTACAGGTTAGGATGGGACCACCCGGATGCGCCCGCTATCTGCCGGCCTGAGGGGGGAGTAGGAGTATATTCTAATAAGGAATAAGGATAGGAGTAGGAGTAGGAGTCAAGCTAGCCAGCTCGAGCGAGTCAAGCATGGCATGCCCAGTCCCACCCGCCCTTCCACAACATAAGAAGCAAAGCTGGCACAACTGGGGGCCGAAGTCACACCGGCCAGCCGGTTTGGTACAGCTGATGCGGCCGCGATGGCGGTTGCCGACGGAACTGGCGAGCGCGTGTTGAATGCCGCGCACGCATTGCCAGACGAGTCGAGAATGGCCCGGTACACCGCAGGAAGCCAGAGGTGGCCGGAGGAAGCCCGACGGTCTGACAGGACACCCCAAAGCATTTTTGTGAAAAAGCATTGGGTGTTTGATGTTTTTATGTTGAAATGCTTGCAAAAACACGGTGTTCGGTAGGATTCTGACATGAACGCGCGAGTGTGCTCTTTGTGGTATTTTTTGCACAGGATTCGCGGCCTGGGTGCATGACAGAGCATCGCGAGTGCACCGCGCGATGACGTGAAATCGCTGGATTTGACGGAATTCTTAAGATTCCCATGGTTTTCCTATGATTTCAGCAAGAGAGCCCGGGCGGGAAATTTGTACATTTTTTTGTGAAAAAACATTGGGTTTTTGATGTTTTCATGTTGAAATGCTTGCAAACACACGGTGTTCGGTAGGATTCTGACATGAACGCGCGCGTGTGCTCTTTGTGGTATTTTTTGCAATGGATTATCGCCGTGGACGACAGGACGTCCATGTCGAGAGGAAAAAATAAGAACAATGTTGATTTTGTATTGTTTTTTTACAGGTTAGGATGGGACCACCCGGATGCGCCCGCTATCTGCTGGCCTGAGGGGGGAGTAGGAGTATATTCTAATAACGAATAAGGATAGGAGTAGGAGTAGGAGTAGTAGTAGTAGTAGTAGGAGGAGGAGGAGGAGGAGGAGGAGGAGGAGGAGGAGGAGGAGGAGGAGGAGGAGGACGAGGATATGCAGTCACATGTAAACAAATGTGTATATGTATATAGTTGTGTATATTTAAATGTATACAAATTCTCACTGCACATTTGCAGGACTATAGGCATACATACACATATGCAGAAGTATAACTTCATTACATGGTGATTGAAATGAAGGCTCCTTTCAACGTCGTCGCCGTCGTCGTTGCCGCCGTCGCCGTCGTCATCGCTATCGTCGCCGCCACCGCAGCCGCCGCTGTCGTCGTCGTCGTCGTCGTCGTCGTCGTCGTCGTCGCCGTCGCCGTCGCCGTCGCCGTTGCCGTCGCCGTCGCCGTCGTCGTCGTCGTCGTCGTCATCGTCGTCGTCGTCGTTACTGCCGCCGTCGCTGTCTTCGTCGTTGCGTCGTCGCCGTCGTCGTCGTCGTCGTTGAGACTGGGGAAGGGAGGAAAGAAAGGGGTGCAGATCAGCAAGTAAGAACGAGGCAGGAAAGGGTACAGGATGGGGATGATGAGGACGAGGGGAGGAGGACGTGGAAGATTTCTAGATGTAGGGGCACGCAGAAAGAGATCCTGCTATTGCCCTGCCGCCTTCTGGTCAGAATTCCGCATCGTTCAAAGCAGTGCCCCGGCACCGTGTCGATCGTCGCCCTTATAAGGATCCATAATATTGACGGCGCGATCATGTTTGGGGACACCTTAACGGGCGAAGACCCGCATACAATCAACTCTCCCGGCGCCGGGGCCGCCTGCCCCCCAGGGCGGCTGGCAAGCTTCTACCCCCACGCGGCACCGCAGGGCTATACACTCTGCAGCCACCCTGGGGGGCAGGCGTCCCCGACGGCGGAACTGCTTCTCTCAGGCCGGCCTTCGCCCACCAGAAGCATCGGTGCCCCTTCCTCCTCGGATCCTCCGCGGCGACCTCGCCGCCGCGGCGCCGCCCTGCCAGTCCGCGTGCGCCCGCGCCGCGGGCGCCTGCGCCGCCTCGCCAGCCAACGAGCCCGCGCGCGCGCGCGCCCTGCCGGCCGGGCCGCCGCCGCCGTGCCCTGCCGCCGACGACGCCGAAGGGCCGGCGGCCCCCGCGCTGCTGCCGCTGCGGCCCGGCCCGTGGCGGGGGGACCCCGAGCCTCGGAGCTGCCCAGGAGGCCCCAGGGGCTGCGTCCGCGTGGTTGGTCGGGTCCGTTCTGGCACACCCCCCACACGTGTCGTGGCCCCACAGAGGGAGCTCCACCGAAGGTCCCCGTCGGGGCGGACGCAGCCACTCGGGCCACGCGGCTGGGCCCAGCTGCCGCTGCGGCCCAGCCGCCGCTGCGGCGAGAAAGGAGAGGAGCCGACGCCGCGAACCCTCGCCTCGGGTTCGCCCCGTGGGGGCCCCCTGGTGGGCCCTCGTCGCCACGACCGGATTCGCCTCGACGTGCTGGTCAGAAGGCGCCCCAGGGAAGGTTGGGGGAGCGGCGGTATCTAGAGGCCTCCCAGATGGAGCAGATGGGGTCGGAGGATCGCACCGCACCGCCGATGCACCGCCGATGTATCGGCGATGCACCAGAGATGCATCGGCGATGCATCGGCGATGTCGGTGTGAGGAAACACGGTCTCCTCATCGAGCCGCATCGTCGATGCATCAGCGATGCGGCGCGATCCTCCGAGCCCGTCTGCTCGGACCCCATCCAGGAGGCCTAGAGTAGCGGCGCCCTTTTTGCCCCCACCCCCCCGCACCGTAAGTTGGAGGGGGTGGGGGTCCTCCACCTCCTCCTCCTCCTCCTCCTCCTCCTCCTCCTTCTCATCCTCCTCCTCCTCCTCCTCCTCCTCCTCCTCCTCCTCCTCCTCCTCCTCCTCCTCCTCCTCCTCCTCCTCCTCCTCCCCCCAGAGCCCGACAGCGAGCCCTCGTCGCAGCTGGTGCCGTCGCCGTTCGGGCCCGCGTCCGCCCAGGCCAGCCGAGAGCGCACGGGCGCCGCGAGCCTGCGGGGAGCCTCTCAGCGCTTCTACAGTCAGAAACCCTAATAAGGACGCGCGGTAAGGACACAAGACCCTTGGAAGCCGAAGTTGGGATTTTTGGGGCGGCGGACGACGAACGCCTCAAGGACGCAAGAGCAAGGAAGAGCAAGGACGCAAGGGTACCCTGAGCAAAGTCGCGCGTCCTTGTTAGGGTTTTTGACTGTATATTCTTCTTCGTCGTGGGAAATTCGCGACGGGCGGTGTGTGGCCGCCTCCGCCGCCTGGAGGCCCTCGCCGGGCCCGTCAACAAACGGCTGGGAACAGGAGCCCGGTCCCGAGCGAGGGGTCCAGACCTCCAGGGCTCCGCGCTGCGGAGAGGCACCACGTCGTCGGAGCTCCGCGAGGGTGGGCGAAAAAGGCTGGGCGGCGCCGGGCGGCGTGAGAGAAGATCCAGATTTTGGGCTCCGCTGCACGGTGATGGCTCCGCCAGGGGGGAGGAGGGAATGCCAGCCGTGCTCGTGCGGCGTCGTGCCTGCTCCTCCCTCTTCTGGACCAGGAGCCCGAGGCGGATCCAGCCGTGGCGACGGAGAAGGAGGAGGAGGAGGAGGAGGAGGAGGAGGAGGAGTAGGAGGAGAAGGAGGAGGAGGAGGAGGAGGAGGAGGAGAGGAGGAGGAGGAGGAGGAGGAAGGAGTAGGGAGAGGAGGAGGAGCGAGGAGGAGCGAGGAGGAGGATGAGGAGAGGAAGGCAGAAGGAGGGAGGAGGAGGGGAGGAGGAAGGAGGAGGAGAGGCGGAGCCAGGAGAGGAGAGGAGGAGGAGGAGGAGGAAGAGGAGAGGAGGAGGAGAGAGGGAATCGGTTTATTTTTTTGCACCCCTGCACTGCTCCAGGCTGCCCGCCTCTCGTTGGTTAACGGCAGAAAAAAGAAGGAGAGAGAGGAGAGGAGAGGTAGGAGGAGGGAGGAGGAGAGGGAGATGAGGAGGAGGAGGAGGAGGAGGAGGAGGAAGTGGAGGAGGAGGAGAGAGAGGCGGAGGGAGGAAGGAGGAGAGGAGGAAGGAGGAGAGGGAGGAGGAGGGGGGAGGAGGAGGAGGAGAGGGAGAAGGAGGAGGGGGAGGGGGAGGAGAGGAGAGGAGGAGGAGAGGAGGAGGAATGAGGAGGAGGAGGAAGGGAGGAGGAGAGAGGAGGGGAGGAGGAGAGGGAGGCGGAGCGAGGATGAGGAGGGAGGAGGAGGAGGAGGAGGAAGAGGGAGGAGGAGGAAGCGAAAAGGGAGGAGTGAGGAGAGGACCATCCCACACACCCCCAGGCAGGGGGGTAGGAGAGTAGGAACGGAGGGAAAAGGAGAGAAGAGGGGAGGGGGAGGGAGAGGAGGTGAGGAAAGTGAGGCGGTCGTGCGCGGCACCACGGGCCATGCTGCGTAGGCGAGGAACAGAGGGTGCCACGCAGGCTCGGGGTGGACACCCGCACAGGTGAGGAAGCGCAGACCTGGAGTCGTAATTACATCGCCGATCAATCGGCGAATTCGCTCGCTCCCTTCGCGATTGGAGACTCGCACGTTCTTTGCGCGGAGGTTTGCTATCAGGCCCCCATGGCTATGAATGGGCGTTTGGGGGTCCAATGCGTCTCCCCTGAGCCCCCCCCACCCCCCTGCCCCCAGACCCCCGACGTCATGTTTTTTTCATGACGCGACCCCCAGAGGTCCAGACCCATTCCCTGGGACCAGTTTTTCATCCCGAGTCGTTTTTGACGGTCCCGAGGTCTGGTAAGGGCCCTTAGAGGCCGAAAATAGCGAAAAACCTCCCGTCGTGATTTTTTCTTGACTCGAGGAGGTCTGGGCCTACTGCTGCCCCTGACGTTCAACGCCAGACCCCGGAGCCGGCCATCCATCTCTCCGCGGGGCATCGTAGCCCTACCGCCGAGGAGTGGCGCGCACGCGCGCGCGAAGGGGTGGCCGTACGGCCGCCCGAGGAGCTGAGTGGGCGTCCTCGGTCCCCGTAGCGAAAGACGGGCCGAGCCAAACGGCTGCGGAGCCGAGAGGGATTCGGCTCGAATAGACGAGCGCGCTCCACTACCCGCAGAGTAACTACTCGCAAATGGCCTGGATCCCCCGCCGAGGATCTACGACAAATTACACCAGAGCGGTCATGTGCTTTTCGGACGTTTGCGAGTGGTGGAACGCGCTCGGTGATCGAAGGAAGCGGGCCGTTTCGAGGATCGAGGCTCGAGGACCGCAGGTCGGGGGAGTCTCTCGCGCTTCTTGGGCCTTCGCGAGACTCCTCGCTGGATCCCTTTGAATTCCTGGCCAGGATAGACCCCAGGAAGGATCTGGGGGATGCCTTCTTCGACCTCGAATATCCAAACGACACGGGCCCCGCAGGAAACTCGCCCTGGAGGTGGTTCT